ATCAGTATCAGCAGGATCAGTTTGGGCTTAGCAACTGTAAACGCCAGACACACGTGTGAATCTAGTACAGGCCTGCCACACGCACACGTGCAAGCGGCGATGGCAACCCCGCCCGCCCAGCGACCGCGCGTTGCCATCACGTGTGCAACACTTTCGCGCCGCACTAACGCGCTCGTGAGCGCCCAAAGTCAGCACGTAAAAGGGCGTGTCCCCTTGGGCCTCCCGTGCGTCAGCGCTCGCAAAGCGCCCTGCACACAGCCTATTTCAGCAACCGCGCCTGCCTCCAGTCCGGCCCTTCTCGCCCCTCTTGCTCTCCGGACGGCCAAACAACCGGCTCCACACCCCCTTTCACCCCCCGGTGGAAGGGAGTTCCCTTGCCCATTGACGATCCCAACTGATTGAGCCTTCCCGTTGATCTTTTTCAGTTTCTTTGCTCCTGCCAAGCATGTCGGCTGGAGCTGGAGATGGTGTTGGGCTGCACGAAGTCGAGGCGCTCTCTCTGTCTGGCCAGCCCCTGACGATCCGCGCCTCGGCCATCGCCGACCTGGCCAAGAATCTCCGCGGGTCGATCCTCACGCCGCGATGCTCTGGTTACGATGAAGCTCGCCGCGTCTGGAACGCGATGATCGACCGGTACCCCGCGCTGATCGCCCGCTGCACCGGCACCGCTGATGTCGTCACTGCGGTCAACTTCGCGAGGCACGAGGGGATCCTGACGTGCGTTCGGTCGGGCGGTCACAGCCAGAGCGGCAGCTGCATGCTCGATGGTGCCTTTGTCGTGGACTTGATGGCGATGAGGGCCGTGAGGGTGGATCCCGTTGCCCGCGCGGTGTGGGCGCAGCCCGGCGCCACGCTTGGGGACATTGACCACGAAACGACCGCGTTTGATCTGGCGGTGCCGGCTGGGCGGCAATCGACCACGGGGATCGGCGGACTGGCGCTGAATGGTGGAATGGGGTATCTGAGCAGGTCGTGCGGCCTGACCGTGGACAACCTGCGATCCGCCGACGTGGTTTTGGCTGACGGGTCGTTCGTGAGGGCGAGCCAGGACTCGAATGCCGACTTGTTCTGGGCGGTGCGCGGCGCGGGCGGCAATTACGGCGTCGTCACTTCCTTTGAGTTCGACGCCCACCCGGTCAAAGACATCTTCGGCGGGATCATAACTTTTCCCCGCCAAGACGGCGCCGATCTCTGCCGCCTCTTTCGCCGCGTGATGGCAGACGCGCCGGACGAATTGGACATGTCGTTCGGGCTGATGGCCCTTCCGGACGGCACGCCGGTGTCGGCGGTGCTGGCGTGCTACCGCGGGCCAAGGGAGGATGCGGAGGCGCTGCTGCGGCCGGTGAGGGAGTGGCGGAGGCCCCTGGCGGACCACATGGGAGTCAAGAGCTTCCGGGAGGTGCAGGCGCTGTTCGACGACCTGGGGTGGGGCAAGCCGACGTACTGGAAGTCCAGCATGGCGGAGGAGATCGCTGACGGCGCCATCGACGTGCTGGTCGCCCAGGTGGGACTCGACTCGAGCGATTTGATGTATGGCTCATTTGCTGCATTCTATTGCAATCGATGCTCTGTGGAGAGCGGAATAAGACATAGTACTTTGTAGAACTGTGTTGTACAGCTTTTCTTGAAAAAGTGCTTCCGCAATGCACTGGCTTGTTCTATTTTGTTGCCAATTGATCTGTTCGTTACCAAATTGAATTCCTCAGCGGTATTCGACGGCCTGCAAGGGGGGAAGACCGCGTGTTGGGAGTCCAGCACATCAGCGGGGATCGAGGACGGTGGCGCCGTTGTTTTGGCGGCGCAATTGTTTACAAGTCTTCAAGTCGTCGGTGCATTCGCTATTCATTGACATAGTTATCGATAACTTCGTTTGCTCCGTTTTATATCGCCCTGCAGTCACTCATCACTCAGCAATCACTGCGATCATCTTTTGCCATTTGGTGAGATGAAAATGAACATTTGCTCAATTGGCTATATAGCCAATGCATATATGACAATGCAGCATAGTCCATTTGTCGCTAATGGTACCTGGATGGTGGAGGAGTTCTATGCGGCGTTGCATGTGCAGGAATTTGAAACCTGATCATTCAAACCAGAAGCCAACGTTTATCAATGTCTTATAAGTCACAGTTGCGAGTCTCTTGCATTCCAAAAGAACGGCACGCTTGTGATCATTAACTAACTTGTCTATTTGTTTACATCAACTCATCAGAAAAGCAACCTCGCTGCATACTTGACTCGCGCATTCATGCGCATACGGTTTGTTCGTTTTTTTGACTGTTTCAGTTCCGTGTGGTCGCTCTCTCGCCTCTAAGTGCCAGCTGGGATCGCAGGCGGAAAAAATGGAGTCTCCCATGTCTATCGTGCTCATCGAATGCAGCGGAGGGGCTGTGGCGCGAGTAGAAGAGACGGCCACGCCTTATCCTCACAGAAGCGCCCGGTACTCGCTGGTGGCCTCTGCCAGATGGGAAAGGTTGGGGCTCTCTGGACAAGGACTCCGCGCTCCTTCAATAAATGCATTTTGCGCAATTGCAGTCCACTTGCTCTCAAGACTTCAAATAGAACTGTTTGAAGTTTTAATTTTATTGAGGTTAATTCTTAGGCTAATCTTGTTTCAGGACAACTTCCAAACGGGCTGACGCCACGGAAAACCAGTGGAACCCGTTTACTTCGTCGTGTCGTATTCTGCAGGGGAACGGGCCGTTCGTTACTGGCGCCGTGACCTTCGATGTCGACATGCTGTGGGATCGGATTTTTAATTACTCCTCCATTGAGAATTTGATTATTAACTGATTCTCTCATTCAGTGCCCATCAAGAAGGAAGACTGGATGGTTGTCTGACCGATTAAAAGGGACTTCATTATTGCAGTTATTTGAATTTTCCATGAAGAACTTATGGATGCTTGGTTGTCTCGTCCAAACCGGGGAGCTGACGGCCACCCCCTTTCTTTTGGTACTTCATGGCAATTGATTGTCCAGTAGATGGACTGATTGATTGGTCGGATTGATTGACTGACCGGTCGATTGGCTGATTGGCTGAGCAGGTCGGAGCCGGAGGAGGACGCGCGCCATGTGGGTTGGGCCAAGGAGACCCACGCCCTGCTGCAACCGCACGCGCAGAAGAGGGTGTACCTGGGATTCGTGAGCGACGACGGGGGCGACAGGCTGCGCGAGACGTACGGGTGCAACTACGACAGGCTGGTGGAGATAAAGGCGAAGTACGACCCTGCCAACATGTTTCGCAACGCGGCCAACATCAAGCCCAAGGCGTAGAAACTCCTGAAGGGAATGGGAGTCGTTGGCCGCGCGTCTCGTTGCCGCTGCTTTTCAGGGGCGAAACGGGGAGGCCACGGCGGCCGCATCGCACAGACATTCACAGTCCCTTTGTTAGGCCTTGTGAGCAATTTCATGTCCGTTTGTTCGGCACAGAATGACTGACGTGCCTCTGGACGTTTTTCCATATAAGATGACGGACTGCCCTCAAGAGCATCATGGTCGATGACGTCATTGTACGGAACGGCCCGAGCAATGTGCAAATTTTTTTAAGCGCTCTAGGTGCTCTAAACGAAGGGATTTTTAAATTCATTACGGGAGTTCCGAGAATTCCTACACGTAGATACACGCGCAATGCACCAAACTCTAATACCTCGCTGAAAAATGGCCGCATCGACTGCGGAAGGAAGAACTTGGGTCACGTGGATGTGCTTCCACATGGAAGCTGATGGAATATAGTGTTCTAGCACGTTGAGACAAGAGGCACAGGGGATCATAGCGGCACGGCACCATCAGAGGCTTGCTGCCGTGTCTGAATACCGTCTGGATCACGCCACGACGGCAACATCTATGGGATGAATTTGATGGCTGTTGATTTGCTGCCTGGCTGATATGATAGACATTACGAGAAGGCCCTGTTCAGGCATGACGTGTGTGGATTTGTGCTGTGTGGGGACGGTGTGGCAAAGTGAGAATGTAAGACCGCTTATCTGTCACTTGTGGAGCAGCGGAACATACAAATTGGGCCAGATGTTTGTGCGTTTGGAAGCAAGGAGCCTGGCAACCACTGTACAACAGTTGTCAGTTGAAGACACATGCTTAGCAGTAGGTAGTGAAGTGGCACCCTCTCTTGGACATTTTATGGGGCCCTGCGTAACATTTCGAGCAGAGCTCCACCGCAGACATGTAACCCCCTTGTCTGGTGCGATCGTTGAGTTAGACCACCTGCGAAAGATGAATTAAATGGCTCATCTTTTGGCCACCTTTTGAGATTCGACTGCAATCTGATCTCGCAGTGCTTATCGCGACTTCCCTCTCAATGAGAACCCTCTAAAGATGAGAAGCTCTCATTTTTACCAAAATCTCGCATTGTCTTCCGACGAATTTCCGACCATTATTGCCAATTGCATTTCTCATTCTTTACGCCCTTTCAGTATCTTATCAATCGCCCTTGTCATCCACTGCATGACACAGGTATTCGGCGCGACGAGGCGAGTTTTCCAACACCGGCAACAATCACAAAAGAGGAACGGGGTTGAAATTCATAAAGACACTTGCGTCCGTGGGCAGCACTGCATGTCGGTGGTTGGTTGCCACGCGGACATGTTTGAGCAATGAACGCCTATGCAAGGGAATCCCCAACCATGACTTCTCGTGCAGTGTGCGTCAACAAACATCCAACATCACGCCACCAACGTCACGAGTCCCGGTCCCTGGGGATGTACAATTGGCCGGTTGTTCAGCCTGCACGCAAGTAGGGAAGCAGCCACGACCACCAAGAAGTCCTTAAACAATTCCCTGTTCGTGTACGTTCTCCGCAGAGTAACATTCGTCCGGTCATCGTTTCGTTGGGCTGGGCTATCGCGCCAACAGCCAAACGCTCCCAAATATGCTACCCTTCAACTGTCTAGTCCCAGTTAGATCAGTCATTCACCCCACATCTACATCAGCCACTCACCACACAAAGAGGGTAGATAGGTAAATAAGATGGCCCCCCATTCCGTGCCAACTCCCCTGGAGAAGGCGCTCTGAGAAAGCCACAGCAGAGCGCCAGCGCTGCGCGACAAGAAAAGCCAGCCAGCGAGATGCCCCAGGTCAACGGCGGCTGTCGTATTTGCCCGCAGCATATTTCACAACAGACTCATTCGTAGGTGCGCCTCCAAGCATCCCCAGAATATTCATAATAAAGGAGCAAAAAGTCCCCGAAACAAAGCCCAGGCCTCCTCCTTCCCCATCACTACTCCCACCCCGCGTCGCGCATCAAGTGCAGGGGCTGTGCTCTGTCATCGTATTACAAATGCGATCAAAGGAATGTGAGACCTTCGCGCTAAGTACCCATATTTGCACTTCGTTGGAGCGGCAGTACTTAACACCATACTTCAGACCTTCCTCCTTCCACCTGCCTTTTCCACTCCGCGCCCAGCCCTCGCCCAGGCCTTAAGGTCCAGTACCACGACCGCCTTCCCTCCTCCGCCACGCCGCCTCAGCCCCCGGAGGCAGATCCCTCCTGAACCACGGGTCAGCCCACACGCCCTCCATGCGCAACCTATTGGCCGGGTCTGGCCGCATCAGCCCCGCCATCAGCGCCAGCGCCTCCGCGCTCACCTCCCTCACCTCGCTGCCATCGTTTCCCACGTGCCTCCTCTTGGGCAGCGCCATCTCGATCCCATCCAGCCCAAATTGATACACGTCATCCTCTGATCGTTTTCTCAGCACCGATTTTGGGTACCGGCCATAGATCATGACGAACAGGCACACCCCGCAGGAGAAGAGGTCTGCGACCATGCCATCGTAGCGCATGTCGGGGGCCTTGCGGAGCAGGATCTCGGGCGCAAAGTAGTCGGCGGAGCCGACGACGGAGACGGTGTCGCCGTGGGGTGTGCCATGGGCCTTTGCAAAGGAGAAGTCGCAGAGGTAGATCATGGGGAAGTCGACAGAGGGGTCATGGACCATGATGTTGTCCAGCTTGATGTCCCTGGGAATCACCATCGAGTTTGGGTCAGGCAAAGACGCCAGGAATAGATGCACAACTATGCATGAAATCGAATACAAGGAAACAAGAAGTCATTGAAATGCTGTCAGTGGAACGAGGGCATTGTTTCTTCGCGCTGGGGTAGAACTTGCAGGGGTAGATCATGGTGATCAAATCCTTCGATTCCATTTGCCACAGACAAACATGACAAAGCACTGCCCATGCACCTTAGAGGGCATGAGTACTAGCCCAGTGTAGCTGTTTGTATCTCAGTGTTTGTTCAGTGTCAAGATCATGGCGAAGTTGGCTGAAGGGTTCTGTATTAGAAAATTGTTTTAACTCGCCCCACTGTCCCCATTGTCCCTTGCGTGCACTGAGCTCGCAGCAGTGCTCATTCTCCTTTCCACCTTATGTTTCTTAGATTGGGTATTTCGAGGTGGTGGACCCAAGTCAGGATGTCAGCATCGCCTCCCTGTCTGCAGCAGAGACTTACCTTGAAATCCGTTTCCAAGCAAATGCGCACATGTGCAAAGCAGGGGGACTTTAGCCCTGCATGCATGTAATTTGACATTTGGCATGTGCAAAGCAATCCCACAAAGGGGGCCACCCATCCTACTGTTTCTAATCTTCCTGATGGGAATTCATCCCAGCAACTGGATGATGCCATAATCAGGCGGCTGTTCCAGCAATTCTGTCTTGTGAGAACGAGACTTGCAACATCGCGCGTGGCATTGTGAGTTCACCTCTTACTTCGAATAAAGCACAGGGCACAGTGCCTACATTGTCTGCAGCAGAGCGCTGCCCCCTACATGTGTTCACTTTGTAGCATTTGGAAAGCATCATTCCACAAAGTAGTACTGAAAGCACATGTTTGAAGCCCTGAGATGCAACCACTTGTGGCATACTGACAACTGTGAGCCCAAACAGTGCACATTCAATATATATTGTATACATTCACAGTATATATACATTTGTGAATCCTTAGCATCCAACATTTCAACAACCAACGGTCATCTTATCACTAGTTGTGGATTGTTGTGGATAGTTGAAAATGAACATTGGCAGTCGAGTGACATTACTCAAAACAGGGGCGTCCCACCTGTGCATGGACTCCAGTTTTTGGTGTACGTATCGCACGGCATACATCAGCTGCTGGAACACCCAGCGGGCCTGGTTCTCTGGCAGCGGCCTGAAGTCAAGTAGATGTCAACACACATCATTTAATTTCGTCATACAATGAAACACGCCCCTCCCGGGTGCATATATCTGTAAAATTCTTTTCCAGGCCATGCAAGTTTGTCAGCAGTCCAACTACGCTGCGCCAGTACTGACAAATTAACCGACATTCAATTGGCATGGCTCCGCCAAACACTGGTTGTGGCTCTCCTGCCATTCCCTATATGCCTGGCCACATTCCCAGGATGCTGCCTCAGCTGCAGTCCCATACAAGCAGCCAACTTTTTTTGCAGCGACTCCTCTGTTGCGCTCCCCAATATGCACAAGCCATGCCCCCTCCATCCATACCACCCCAAGCTTGCCAGAGTCCCATGGAGGCGATTTTCTCATCCAATGGCACCCCTACCCACCCACCCAACCTTATCACTCACCCACCCACCGACCCCACCCCACCGCCCAATCTTTTTTGAGAAATAGCCAGTGCTCGTACGGACCAGAGTATGTCAGACTGCACGCAGTCAATGCCAGTTATCCACAAGAGCCTGAGATTCAATCCCAGAAGACGGAGACACTGAGCTTGTGCTATGTTTTTTTGGTTCGATTCTGGAACATGCACAGCATTTAAGAGACTTGTGGGCCTTGTGGGGTTTTAGGTATTGATGCTCGGATGGACAGCACTGGGACCCATCAGAGGATAGGCTTCTACTCACTGGCATGCTTGGAGCTCTACCAGCATGGGACACACATACAATGTTTGCAGTGTTGTTGATGCCCCATGAAAGCCAGTGAACAACAACAGCAGCAACGCTGGTGGAAGCCCACAACTTTCTGTTGGGATGGGGTGGCACCAGTGCATACATAGGCTGAGAGTTTTGCGATTAGAAGAGGCCTTGAACACAAAAACAGCCTACCCCCTCTTGTTGATGTACTCCAGCAGGTCGCCGCCCTGTATGTACTCCATCACGATTCCCACATGTGTCCCCGTCCGAAAGGTCTCCAGGACAGGCACAATGTGTGCCGCCTTGGCCGCGCTGTGCACGAACACCTCCCTGAGGATCGCTGTCACCTGCACAACCATCTGAGGCACTCAAGGGCTTTCGGGGGACAGGCTTGGCAAAATTTGCCCATCATGTGGGAACAAAAAGCTTGTTCTGGGACTCTAGGGGTATAATTGTGGATTCTTAGAAGGATTTGACTATTTGAGGCGCCTACATACATGATGCTGTAACTTGCAACCGGTACTTGGAGCCAAAAGTGCACATCACGTGGGCACAAGAACCCCATATTTTGGGGCTGTTTTGGGGGCCGCATTGATTTTCTGAAGGATTGACAATTTGAGGCACTCACATACATTCTGGGAACAGCCCCTGCAGAGGTCAAAAGTGCCCATTGTGTGGGTACAAGAGCCCCATATTTTTGGGCCGTTTTGGGGGGCGAATGGATTTTCTGAAGGATTGACAATTTGAGGCACTCACGTACATTCTGGGAACAGTCCCTGCAGAGGTCAAAAGTGCCCATTGTGTGGGTACAAGGACCCGGCTTTGAGACACTGCAGGGACAAATGGAGTCTGTGGAAACTTCGCCTGTCAAAGGAACTCATGTGTCTTCTGTGAAGCATCGCTGTGGTGGTCAAAAGTGTCCATGGAGGTGGGGAACAAGCACCCAGTTTCGGGACACTTTCTGGGGACAAATGACATCCACGTTCGTTCTGAATTTCGACAAGACATTTTGGAACACTCCCACTCATTCTGGGACAGGGCCATTGGAGGTCAAATGGGTCACCCAAGGGGCGGCAACAACCTCGTTCTGGGTCCTTTGCTTGGGAAATGCCACCAGAGAGAAATTTGGAGCATTCAGGCACACCGAGGGCAGCAGCACACCGTCAGGTCAAAGCACCAGTCGCGCGGGCGCGTGGGCACAAGGCAAGCTCGCCTCGCGCAACCTTCCTCCGAGCAGCCTGTCCGAAGCCCAGTGCTGCATTCATGTTGTCCCCCCTGTCCCCATCCAACTTGGTTGCCTTGGGGCGTGCGCGACTCCCAACGGGACTCGCTCATCGCCATCAGGCCGGCTTCTGCCCGCGGGAGACACGCAGTGAGAAAAGGCCGGTCCTCCCTCACCTTCCGCTCGTTTGTGGCGCTGTTACACTCGATGAGCTTCACGGCAACCTGCGGCGGGTGCGCAACCCAGGTCAGGAGCGGGCGCCCACCCCCTCTCGGACGCCGAGACCATTCCTTACCGCTTCCGTGGCCACACCCAGCGGGCCCACCACGCTGGCCAGTGGCCAACTCCCGCCAAACTTTCAACTACAACGAGCAGCTGCCCATGGGGCGGCGTGCCATTTTCAACCGCGGCGCGCCGCTGTGCCCCGTGCGGCACGACAGGCGCCATCCATGGGCTGACAATCGCAATCGGAACAAGCCACCAGGGGCTCAGGGGCCGCACAATCGGACGCATTTCTCCCTTCGACCCACCTGGGGAGCGCCCCTGGCGGCGCTGTCCCGCGCCAGGTACACCACCCCGTTGGAGCCGCGGCCCAGCTCGCGAATCAGCTCGAACTTGGCGGGCAGCTGGAGGGCGTCCTGCTCGCCCTTGCGCCCGCGGTTGAACAGGCCCATGGCCGGGACGCCGAAGTGTCGGCCGGGATGGGCTGCGCAATCTGGGGCTTGCGGAAGGGGGGTGGCGGGGGTGGAGCGTTGGGGGTGTTCTGCCCGGGGCTGCTGGGCGTGCCGTGGGCCTTGGGCTGATCGACAGGAGGGTGGCGTGCCGTGGGCCTGTCATGCGGCGCGAGCTTAGGGCGGTTTTGTCGGCCCGATAGTTTCGGGCGCTGTACCGCATTTGGGGTGCTGGGTGTCCATCTGCTTGACAGCAGCTGGGACGCTGAGCCAACCACCGTCATCATCATCACTTCTTACCGAACAAGGCAGTGAGGTAATCCTGCATCGGCTTCTGCTGGAAAAGGATGCTTTGCATACTTTGCGTTTTGTGGGGGAGCTCCTCTGTTTATCTTTTGGTTGTAAAGATCGGTGCCGACCGACAGCACGACCCTTCGGGGCTTGCACAATGGAATACGACATGCGGAATCGCAATCACCGCGTCGTATAGCGATGGAAATCGCTTCACACAGGACGCTGGGCTTATCCCTTTGCAGAGAACCGCCCGCCCGACCTTCAGGTCCCACCCTCGAACCGAGAGGCGGCCTGTTGAGGTGCACCGACCGTAAGGAGCAAAATTCTTACAGACCGGGGGCGGCTACAATGCGCACCCCCGCCACTTTATACATTACCGCAGTCAGGTTCATACGACAAAACGAAAGGTCCACAAAAAGGTCCACCTAGGGATCCAGATCCTTCCCACAACCACACAACTGGATACCCTCGACCACACAACCAACGCACCGCCCTGCTGGTCATTTCGTCAGACTCCTTTGATCCCATCTTTCCCTACTAAGTCAACTTCAGCTCACCACCATCTCACAGCCGCCCGTTCACACGTCCTCAGACCATCCCTTTGATCCCATATACGGTCTCATCGATACTTACATGTCACATCAAAAAATGTTTTGTCCGGCGGCCGCACCCAGCGCCATGCGCTGCCCCAGCCACCCATGCCTCTCCGCCGGTGGCGTATCCTCACGGTCGAAGTCAGGCCTGGGCTGGTGCCCCTGAAGCCACCCTTGGACTTCCGCCCGGACGGCATCAATCCTCCACTTCTCCTTGATCTCCATATCACGCGCATGCCATTCCCCAATCGCCCTTCGCAGAGCTGGTGAACGCATGTCCTTCCTGGGAGGGGCCGGCGGCAACCGCATCAGAAATGTCATGTCCGCTTCAAGCGCCTTCACCCGTCCGTCCTCCAGGAACGCCTCCTCCAAAGACTGCACCTTCAACCGCTGGTGGAAATAGTCATCGATGACCTTCCATCTGGCCGCTCGAATATCATCCTCAATCGCCTCCGCAGCCCGCCACACCACCGGCTTGTTGTCAAGCAACCGCAGCTGCGACAACTCATTGTCCCTCCGAGCCGCATCCCATGCCGGCTTGAGACCCATGTAGCACATGGTCTCAAACTGTGCTATAATTTCTGTTCTTACAGCCGGCGCCAACGGCTGCATATCAAGGGAGGTTTGGAAGCCCATCCCGGCATGAATGACGGCATCGAAGATCTTCTGGTCATCCGCCAACGACTCCTCCCACACCGACATGAGAGCACCATGCAGGTCTTGCGCTCGCCTCCATTTCTTGTCTTCTTGGGGCGCTCCACTGGAACCAGACGCCTGTCCGCTTGGCGCCGCCAGCCGGGCCGCCTGGAACTGCTCCAGCTGATGGCAAAAATCCCGCACGTCGTTCAGCCCCGGAAGAGACTGGGCATGGCGCCACTCCAAGATTTTGTCGATGCGGGAGCTGCCCTGAGAACCGGCCATCCTTGCTCTGCTTATAGACGACACGGAGGGCCTTCTCATGCGCACAGCGTGAAACCCGCATGGAATCCATACGCGCGCATCTCAACATCCCGTCCACCGCCCCCTGACTGACCATCAGTCCAATCATTCACTTGTCAGTCCTCCGAACAGCCTGGTTCCCTGTGGCCTTCTGCCATACATCGAAAAAATCCCCTAGAAGACGCAATTCTTCATCAAATCAACAATAAAAACCACCATTCGATTGCTAATAAAATTCGGGATCTATTGGTATCTTGTCCTCCCCTTAATGACCACTCCATCCCTATAATGATTGCCTAGGAAACTTGCATGCTGGCTGGCCCGTTTCCGTGCTGCTCACGATGAAGTAACATACAGGTTAATTTGATGGCGCCCGATTCAGCCCGATCCTGCCAGCGATATCCGCGATTCCCTCATCACACCGCGCCCACGCCCATCCCCCGTTGAGTCATCTCCGGGACCCACCCGCGGAGCCGCGGAACTAGCCATCCCACAACACCCTTCGCTGCCCCGCCCAGGCCTCCGGGCCAGTGCGTTTCACACACAGGGGCGCCGCCGCAAACCTTCTCCAGTCAGATCGGCGGGAAGCCCCTCCTCCGTAATCCCACCTGCTCAGATTGTCGCAGGCGGCCTTAGGCACAGTCCTTGTCCACCCGGACCGTCGAGTCCCGACAGCTCGGGTCCGGGGCATTCGAGCGAGGGGCTCTCGACCGAGAAGCCCCTGCCCTGAAAACTTTACAGGCAGACTGAAAGGCCTCAGGGAGGCGGTAGTTTTCCCCCGGCGGAAGGGGGCTAACCGTGCACGGGTACGAGAGCCCACCGTGCGGCTGCACCCCTCCATCGCCGGCCCATGGGTGCGCACGGAGCCGCCCGATCCCTCAATGGGCATTGCACCGCTTTTCCGTGGCAGGATCCTTCCCTGCCTGTCCCTGAACGCGTCGAGTGGGCCGCCTGCCCGCGGGTAGTCGCTGCGTGGCTGTGCGGAGGTTCGTTGTCCCTGGAGGTGGCGCAGAGCCCCCATGGCTCGCGCGGCTTTGGATGTGCTTCCGTGGCCGCGCTGCTTAGTTGGCCGAATTACGCGAACGTTTCTATCGGGTTGTTGCTGACCCTGGGTCCTGTCGCCGTAGCCTGAACTGCCGATACTGTCCCAGGAACCATGTTGTCCATACGATTCCACCATGGCTGGCCATGGCTCCCCCGTACTGGAGTCCCATGTCACCAAACTCTGGGCCTCACGGGGCACCAGCTTGTCGCAGCTGAATGGCGCATAATGGAGCCACAATGGACTCATTATTGGTGACCCGAGCATGGTGCAGAACACTGGAATTGAAAAAAAAGCAGTGAGGTAGCCGTCAGCTTCCTATCTTGCTTGAGCAAAGCGGTGTCCATGATCAGTTCGTTGGAATCTGATGCAAAACTGAGACAGTGAGATACTTTTATCTCAAGCTGGTGATGGCAGTCTTGTTGAAATAACCTTTGCAAGTATATAGTTGCCATCCGTGCCATATATGGCACATATGAGCACTTGCCGTGTCAGCGGTGGGATTTGAATGCAGGGGAAGGGTTTGGAACTCGTGGCCAAGGCATCATTGGCAAAGTGGACTGGTTTCGACCGCTGCCACGCGGTCTCGTCAGCACCCCAGGGGTGCCGATATCGGGTCACTTGGGCTGGCCAGCTTCTCAGTGTGGAGATTTCTCACCCTCGTGAGGATCTGTGGATAGGTGAGAAAGGGAATTTGAATGTGGGTGCTGTTGTCTGCTGTTGCGGTTGTTACTGAAGATATTTTGTGTGTGGCTCAGTTCTGTTGCTCATGCAGTAATATTTTGGTTCGCTAGAATGTTTTTCTTAATATCATGGCAGTGTAAACATATTTTGCAGAGAGGATCATTGTGCCAGGGCGGTGGTATCCAGCCACGTGTTTTGGGACATCAGCACCAGCGCACAAGGCCGTTTGTTCTGAAATAGATGTCTTGTTTTTGAGGGTTCCAACCCTGTTGCACCAGAGTTGTGGGTCATGACTTCAGAACTCCAGGCACTGGATGCTTTGTTTAATTCGTTGATCACCGTCTCAGGGGAGCATGCAAATGATGAGAACATGTCTTGCAGCATTTTACATATGCTCTGCTGAGTACAGGCACTCAGTGGCACCTATGGCACTCAGTGAGATGGCATTTAGCCAGCCGCTGGGGTATCAGCACTGCTACATGTGAAAAAAAGGAGATGTCATGGTTTTCGAGCGTTCGAATACAATTTCATTAGAGCTGTGGGCCACTGCTTCAAAAATTTCATGCGTACAATGTTTTGTCTATTCGCTGATCACAATTTCACTGCAACAAGCCAACGATGTGACAATAGGCTTATGCAGAACTTCACATAAGTGCACTGCTGAGTACAGGCACTGAGTGCCTCCAGTTGCACCAGGACACAGTGTAGGAAAGAGACCAAAATTCTTAAAACTGCCAAATCGCAATTTGTTGATTTATGTGCATCCCACCAAGAGATCCAAATCAGTGTATCTGGGAAGTGACCTGAAGACAGTTTTTCCTGAAGTACTGCACTCTGCTCGCCACAGGATTATCACCATGCTGCATGGTCCATGGGCATGGTCCATGCACAAGAATGCCATTGTCAAAACAGGCGGCACCCTAGACAGCGGATTTGCCAGGGAGGTGCTGGGATACCAAATAAGGAAGCGCTGTGGTCGAAAACAAATGGGACGGTACGAAGGGGTGAAGCCATATCTGACGCTGGAGGGGGCAACGGCGGGCACACTGGGTTTGGTGACAGGATTTGAAATGGGAAAACTGCTGGCTTGGGCAAATGTTCCTATCTGCATACTCGGCGCTTGTCAGTCAGGCAAGCAGGTGCTCCCCAGCACCGCTCCTCCCGAGGATCAACTGGCAAATCCAACTCCTCATGGTCGTGATACCAACCTGGGCAGCTGCCTGTTGAATAAGGGTGTGAAAATGGTGGGTGGCGCTGGCATACAGGGTGACCTTCTCGGCAGCACAGTTGTTGATGGAAGAGTTCCACAGCCAGCTCTGGGCACAGCGGCCAGTCATGGATTCACTGCGACTAGGGCGTTGGCAACTCTACAACAACAAGCAGAGGAGGGCCTACCGCAACGTACTGGTTGAACTGGAGGATTGGATGTTGCCAGTGGTATGTGCTAACCG